TACAGCCAATAAGCCAACATTCCTAATTAAGTTGACATACCAATTAAGGCATACAAGAGTTTTAATTTTCAATATTCGTCAACAATGGGAATTGAACCTTAGACCTTGTCACTTGGGGTGCAACAACTTGACCACTTCACTAAGTCGCCACACCCTTATTGGTTTTGATTCTTTGCTCTTATTTTCTCTATTGTTATCATCGATCAGCTCACTTAACATAGATAGTTCTTTTATTAAAACTTATACTTTATCAGGTTTCATGGATTTTGTTTCACTTTGTAGGATAGCTTTATCACTATCTACAGATAACTTACATATCACTCTTGTTAGATTTAAGGTTTCTTTACCTTCATCTTTCACTGCTTCTGACATATCTATGTCCTGAACTTTAGCTGATGTCATTTCTTTATTATCTACAAACCGATGTGACAAGTGTTTTACTTATTTCTATTACTTTTTTCAAAACAGTCATAATGGAGTATATGATCACACATGAGTATGATAAATGTTTTGGATAGATTTAACAAAATTTCTTTATTATATTCATAACAATTCTTTAGTTCTAGTATTGTGATATTATTTACAAGAGAGTTTGAATGACCTTTTAAGATTTTTATTTCAAAAACTTTTAATAATTCTGCTCATTTGAAATATTTTGTGATAAGTTCTCCTTTACTAAGTGGTTCATTACTCATAGTATAGGTTACGATGAGTTAGTTAATGATAAAAATTTTTCTTATTATTTCATACTTACCTGACTATATATTATTTTATTACTACTCAGAATTATTTAATAGCTAAAAAATAAACAGATATAATATTTAAATCAATATATTTATACGAATTTTAACCAAATAACTCTTTGAAATTTATTATTCATTTATTCTGTTTTATAATTTATTTTTATATTAACAAACCAATTTGTAGATTTTATGAAATCTTATTTTGGATTTGGTAATCTGTTCATTCACAAATTAATTAGTATAAGAGGATCATTAGATCTTTAATGGCAATCATAAAAAAAAGGAGGCATACATTTTATAGATTTTTATTTCACATTAACACTTTTCTATCTGTATTAAAAATCTTCTAAATTATCTTGAATTTTCAAGTTTATTAGCATTTTGATAAAACCAATCTTGAGCATGTTTCATTAATAGTCTACCTAGTTGATAAAGCTATTTCTTTACTGTTTGCTGGATTATTATAACTGAATTTATTCATTTTTTTTATAAACAATATGCTCGCTGGATGATAATAGCTAATTGATTTTTTATATACAAAGCTTTAAAATATGTTACTTGGATTAAAAATTCTCTAAATTCAGAGTTATTAGCTATGAATTCATTTTTAGTTAGATTGTTTTTTATACAGAATACAAAGTTTTTCCAATGATTCTTTCTATTAATATTATATCCTAGTATTAATAAACATCTATATATATATATAGGTAGATGATACTTTGCAAATTGTAACTAAGCTTCTGGTGATTTAAAATTATTAATATAGTTTAAACCATATTCAGTTAACATGTATCGGGTATAATTATTATGAAGTAATGAGACTTCATCTCTATTTTTTGTTCATTCTTTAACAATATCGTGAATATTAGACATATTTATATTTCAAACATGTGGATTTTATTAACTAAGACTTTTTATTTAATTGTTATATTTATTTATTATCAATTATAAAAAATAGATTTATATATTAAGTAGAACAATTTAGTGAGATATTTATTCCTCTGAAATTTTGAATTGAATATTTATTCTTATTAAGAAAAAAATTTATTATAGGAAATGTTAATATTTTTATTTGGCATATTGAGTAGGCTAAACTCAATGATTCTAATTGTATTCTAAATAAGTAAGCTATACATTTCCTTTAATATGTCCCAATTCATTATTAATTCTATCTACTGTCTATTGGTCTGGATTTCCAGCTTTGTCCCAATCCCATAACAATTCATTGAAACATAATTTACATTTATTTTTCTGCGAATCTTTTAATACAAGGATATAATCAACAGATAAGTTAAATTTATGACCTTTTTTCTTATCTTGATCTATATATTCTATGAGTTTTCCAGAAATAAATAGTCTTAAGAATCGCTCAATTGCTTTCTTATTTTTTGCATCTTTAATCTTAAGAGGTAATAAGGAACCTTCAATTCGAATAAGTTGGCCCAAATATTCTACATGACCAACTGCAAGATAAATTAGATTATTTTACGTCAAATATTCATTGATAACCCAAACTCATTATAGAGCTTTAAAAGTCATTTTCTGCTAATATGAATGGTCATTGCATATCCAAGTTCCCAATCTATAGCCTTTTCTTTTTCTAATATGTCTTGTAAGAATTTATCAAAAAGTGTATTTAAGGGTAAGTGTATTATATCATTTTTTACTAGTTCTCTTTTCTTAGATGAGCCAGAAATTAGAACAAGGCAGTTTTGTTTATGCCTATCTTTTGGCCTATAAATTAACAGAATTGGAATTTCGAAATATTTTGTATAATGAAGCTTAAGACATATTTGTGATGCAAGTCTTCAAGAAAGTTAATATACTGATAAAATTTGATCTGAGGGAGATCATTTCTTTTCAAGATATTTCTATTTTTCTATAACTAGAATTGCTTCATAAAATAATTCTGATTGCACCTGATTATTTTTATGATGTATTTCTTTTTTGAGTTCATGTAATTTAGGACATTTGGCCTGATAATTAGTTAAGACTTCTTTATAATAATCGGCATACTTTTTTAACCAATTATGTGGCATTTCTCTGAAAAATAATGGAGGTTGCACATCATTATCACAACAAATTATCTGACATTTATGTTCTAATAAATAATTAATGAACATTTCAAGAATATGCTTAGAAACTATATATACTTTATCCCAAATAACAACTCATGAAAATTTCTTTTCTCCTATGTGTTCAGGTGTCCACTCTTCTACATCATTTCATCGAAAGAAGCTATGCCAGGTTTGGACTTTCACATTTACGTTTTTCTTGAAAATCTTTGGCTAATGCATTTGTATAAGTAAAGACAATCATACTTATATTTTTAAATATTCTAATTGCTTATATTGTTTTACCAGATCCTCCTTCTCTATTAAGATATGAATTTTGACATCTTGTAATAGGATTATGAATTGTTGATGCAATACTATCTGAAATATCTTTGATCGATTCTCAATGCCTATTCTTTGGCCAGTATACAATATTTGAATTTGGACTATATATTTTTTTGCTCTTATCACACCATTGACTGAATTGAATTTCTTAGATTTCTTGTTCTTCTGGTTGATGTAAAAGAGCATAGGAGTCTAATCTATGTATCTTGGCACTAGCTCCACTATAAAACTATTCTCCAAAGCAAAATTTGCAAATAAATAGTTTATGCCTTTTGCAATTATATTTTGCTAGAGGCATTTTAGTTTTTAGAAACTCTTTAATCCATTTTGCATATTCCAATTTTGAAATAAAGAATTCTTTTGGATCATTACACATTATACAAGAAGAATAATATGAATATAAATTTGGATCTGACTTTACTTCAACTTGTTTGAAAAATGCTGGTATATTTTCGATCTTATATAAAGCATCTTTTCATACATATATAGAATCTGTAACAATTCTTACTACTTCATTAGGATCGAATTTCTGAAGCATCTCTAACAAATTAATATGTGTATATGCTAACATTGAAGCCTGTAAATGAGTATATTGAGGTTGATAACCCTTATAGTATGTAAGTATAAAACTAAATAGACATTTCTCTTTATTAGCATATGTTCCCTCTTTAATACAATCTTGGATTAAGAAATCAAGTTCACCTTTATCTGTTATGACTCAATGAGTAAGTTATTTTTCTTTAACTATATTTCTCTGTGTGAACTTCCCTATGATTGTATAACTTATATCTTGATTTTTAGGCAACCATACCTTTGTTTGCTTGGTAAGTGAAATAATTGCTTCTTTTATAGTTACACTTTCTAGAATACCTGCTTCGAGAAGATATTGTAGAAGTACAATAGGTGTTCAGCCTTTTGCCTTTCCACATCTTTCTCCATTTCGGCAAGCAAAGTGCTTTCTATATTAAACAAAAATTACTGGATGAATATTAAAAACAAATTTAAAAGTTCTTATTTGCACAAATCTGGTTATATTGTCTTTTGGTAATTTTCTATTTACTGCTACTCAAACAAGATGATGTGTTGAATGTCCAAATCATTTGAATCATGATGAATACTCTTCTTGACTACACATACTAGCTAAATAACAAGATTTCATATCTATATATACAACATCTTGAATACAATAATCAGGTGTGTTTCAATGTTCTCTATGCCCATGTTCAATACAAGATTGCTTCATATTTTTATATACACTTATCGGAGTAGGATACTATTTATTGATCTTATTGGCCAATCGACTTCTAGCATAGTTTGTTTCAAATATCTGTTCTGCTAAGTCAACTACTTTAAGTGATTCTAGAGACTTCTACTTTTTTCTTCACTAATTATTCCTTCCCAAAATTGCTAGTCTACTGCATCTTCAAATAATTCCTTACATGCATTTATAATATCTGTATGCTTTTTTTATATTCTGAATATGTGACCATTTTCTAAAACAAATTGTGATATTGTTTGGTTTCCATTCCCTACTCCTATAAGCCAGATAGCCTGAGGTCCTTAAAGAGCATTGTTAATAGCTTTCCAAGTATCATTCTTATAATATTTGACAATTCAGTCTCTTGGAAAATGCTGGTTTCTCAGAAATGCATAACTATTATGAACTACCATCTCTATTTTTTCATACTTACCTGATCAATATTTTTTGCTATTAAAGATAGTGCCATGGGTTATATCAAGCAATTTAATCGATCGTTTAAGAATTTTTTCTAATTCTGCTACATCTTATACTCGAGCACCAGGAATGTGCATCTTTTTCTCCCATGTATCAATTTTTTGTCAGCAAGTTTCTGTAAGTCCATGCCCCCTTTTTGCTTGATCAAAATGCTCTATTACTCATTGTGCTATACAATTAAGTGCTTCATCTTTTATAGGCATTAATCGATTAATATCTGGTACTTGAATTTGATACAATCTATAGACTACTGCATTACTATCAAGTTTCTTTACCTCAGATTGCCTACTGACTTCTCTAACCAGAAATTTTTTGTCTATTTCTACCCAAAAACCTGGTTTCATTTTCTTTGTAAGTATAACATTTGGACTACCTTTTATATATTTACTATTTGCCCTTTTTGACTCACAAATAGGTTCATATTTATCTATAATTTTAAAACCTCTTTTTGTTTCCTTATCTGATATTACTGTATCAGCTCAAATAAATTTTACTTTTATTAAATACTCACTATTATCAATTGCATTTAAAATTTCTTGGGCTTACTCTTCGATTATTCCAGCTTCTAATTTATGTTCTTTAGTATCTATAAACTAGGTTAAGAATGCATATTTGGTTTCATTCACTTTAAACATATCTTTTGCATACTGAATGCCATTTTGCCATACTTCATGATGCTCTTCATTTTCTGGAAATAGGATGAGCCAAGGTACTTCTATATCCAAATCTAGAAAATAATAAACTTGAGGTTCTGAATTACTAGGTTTACTAATATTTGATTCTATTAGATTGAACTATTCTTTATCTGTTTTAGGAACTAATTTGGATTTAATTTTTTTGTTATTTTTTATTTCTGGTTTTGATAACTATTTTATTAGTTCATTTATAGTTAAAACTAATTTCTTTTTTTGCTCTCTATGTATTTATGTTCTAGGACCTGAACCAGCTTCAGGATCTGCTTCTAGAATATCACCAGTTAAAAGATCAACTGCTGGCATACTTGACTGGGCTGTCTGGTGTGTTGGTGAGTTTTTGTCAAATGATATTAAATCATCTTTGAAGACTAGTGCTAAATTGTCTATTGAAGCTTGAATAATGTTTTTAGTTTAAGATATATTTGCACTTGTATTAGTTGCAAGAGAGCCTAACATGGTCTGAATTATGTTAAGTCCATATGCTTATTAAGATCTCTTGTTTTCCCAATTTTAAGGCTCTATCCACATCCTGAACATTTATCTACCATATTTTTCAGTGTTTTTTATTATATATTGGTTATTCAGATCTTTTGTTTAAATAAAAAATATTTATTTCACTTATACATTCTGTCTACTTATAAGTTCATGTTTAGATAAGTATAGTTAACTAATTTTTTTTTTTCCAAACTAGAGGAAAAAAAGGTTTTATGTCTTGCAATTTTATTCTCACTAGCTCCACCTTCTCACAGATACTGTTCAAAGCCAGAATGAAACTTAATTCTACCTTTTTGCATATATGCTTGAAGTCAAAAAAAACTTGCAAACAAAAGGTATAAAAATATACCAAAAAATTAGTACTAATTTTAACAATTTTTAGCTTTAAAAACTTGTAGACTGAAGAGTATAAAAACACATTACAATTAGTTACTATTTTTTAAGCCTACCTTCTCATAACTTCATTACTCAAAATCAAAAAAAGAAATTTTTATATGAATAACGATGTGATTAATAAGAGATTTATGTTTGCTTTATTAGTTGAATGACGAGAGATTTATGTTCACTTCATATAAAAACACCAAAAAATTAGTATTAATTTTAATGGATTGATGAAAAAAACTCACGAAAGAGAAGGTGTAAAAACACACAAAAAAGTCTGCCTGCAACCCCTGCTGCTAGAACTTATATAGTAATATATAAATGAACTACTTAAATTAGACACCAAAAGTGTATGTATAACTAGTTGTAACCTCCAATGTAAGGTAGCTCCTAGTGGCATGTCATGTCTTATATACTTGAACAAAAATGTCATATTCTGAAGATAGGAACTTTAATATTAAAAAAAAAAATAAATAAATAAAATTATTTATCTATTATAGTAAAGTTTTAATGTATTGTATTATTTTAAAAAAATATACTTGTATATATAACAAAGTTTATGTAAGTGAGTTAAAATTTTCTTAGATAGTACAAAAAAAAGAATTTGATTGGTTAATTTACATAAACCTATTAATTAATTTTATTTTATAATTTTATATCCTAATCTTTAAAAATTAATATCTTAATGAGTTTTTAACCTATTTTAATAATTTTATTATCATTAGAATTAGAAAGACCTACTATACAATTTTTACTTAATAATTAAAATTAGGTTACTTAATATAATTTTTCATAAAATTAAATAT